CTGCTCACTCTTATAGCTCTCTTTCTGGTCTGTAATTGTGTTCTGTTTGGTCATGTTTGTATCTGGGTATGATCAAATTCGTAGACTTTTTTTTATGGCTATTAAGAATTTTTGGTTGTTCCCATGTTGATTTGGTGTTTGTTTGCTAAATTTGGAGACTTTTTTTTTTGGGGGTTAAATGTTAACATTTGGAGATTTTTCTCCTCTTTGGTTTCTTTTGTTTGACTTACTGTTTGATTGGTTCAATCTTTTGGGGTTTATGAGACTTTTAAAAGTTTATTCTGATCAAGCTTTTGGTTGAAATTGTTCTTTGTTTTGACTTTTTGTTCTCAGATGTTTTTGGGTCTAATCTGCATGATATAGATGGAAGTTCACTGATCTTTCCCAAATTCTGACTTTGTTGTCCTTTTTATGTTTTTAATGGAAATATGAACTTGGTTGTGTTCTGATGCTTAAGCTGTTTTATATTTTAGCTTGTGTTGTTGGAACATGATTTCACTATTATCTTTATGAACAATACATCTCTCAGCTTCAGATTCTTCATAGCTTGATTCAGCTTTGTAAATGTTGCTTTTCTACTTTCTTCTTGCAGGTATGATTACTCCGGGTATGGACAATCTACTGGAAAGGTTTGTCTTTTAAAATCGTTAAGTCGAGATATCGATAATGGCTTTTAATCCATTCGACTATAGAACTAAATAACCGAATCTCTTCTTTTTTTTCCGTGTGACTGCAGCCGAGTGAGCACCATACATATGCTGATATTGAAGCTGCTTATAAATGTCTTGAAGAAACATATGGAGCAAAACAGGAAGAGATAATCCTCTATGGCCAATCTGTAGGAAGTGGACCTACATTAGACCTGGCTGCTCGATTGCCTCGATTAAGAGCTGTTGTTCTCCATAGCCCGATTCTTTCGGGTCTAAGAGTAATGTATCCAGTGAAGAAGACATACTGGTTCGACATCTACAAGGTAATAAAACTCATCATTCTTTGATGGATCATTTTTCTATGTTCTGTCATCCCTGCATCCTCACAGTTACAGGTTTATGTATTTTTTGCAGAATATCGACAAAATCCCACTTGTGACTTGCCCGGTTCTCGTCATTCACGTGAGTTACAAATTCATTTCTCTCTGTTTTTGTTTCACCGGAAACGAGTGTCTAAAACTCTCTGTGGTTCTTCTTCTTGTTGCAGGGAACTTGTGATGAAGTTGTTGATTGTTCCCATGGCAAACAACTTTGGGAACTCTCTAGAGAGAAATATGAACCGCTCTGGCTCGAAGGCGGTAACCATTGTGATCTAGAACACTACCCTGAATACATCAAACACCTTAAGAAATTCATTACAACCGTAGAGAGATTTCTTTCCTCGAGGACGAGCACGTGCCAATCGGAAAACCAGAGCAGCGATTTGGAAATGCCGAGGC